GAAGGGGGACAAGAAGAGAGACAAGAAAGGCACACAAAAGGAAACAGAATGGAGACAAGACGGACACAGTGACCACCAAGAAGGGAGACAAGACCGGAGACAAAGGCAGACAGAACAGAAGACAAGGCGGCCACAATGACCAACAAGAAGGGGGACAAGAAGGGGGACAAAAGGAAACAGAAGGGAGACAAGACGGACACAATGACCAACAAGAAGGGAAACAAGAAGAGATACGAAAAGGACACAGAAGGGAGACAAAGCGGACACAGTGACCAACAAGAAGGGAGACAAGAACGAAAACAAGAAGGGAAACAAAAGGAAACAGAAGGGAGACAAGGCCGACACAGTGACCACAAGAAGGGACACAAAGAGAGTCAGAAGGGGCGAGGCGGACACAATGACACACAAGAAGGGAAACAAAAGGAAGCAAAAGGGAGACAAGGCGGACACAGTGACCCCCAAGAAGGGAGACAAGACCGGGGACAAAGCGAGACAAGAAGGAAGACAAGGCGGACAAAGGGAGACAACAAGGGAGACAAGAAGGGAGACAAAAGGAAACAGAAGGAAGACGAGACGGACACAGTGACAAACAAGAAGGGAGACATGAACGGAGACAAAGGGAGACAGAAGGGAGACAAGATGGCAGACAACAAACAGCAATGACAAACGACAAATGAATAGAAATGCTACATGGCCAGCGGAAAGGGCGGACACCACCAGTGACGGACCTGGGAGACATATGAATAGAAATGTTGCATCGCCAGCGGAAAAGGGCGGACACCAGCAGCGACAGACCTGGGAGACAAATGCATAGAAATGCTGCCCAACGGAAGAGGGCGGACACCGGCAGTGACAGACCTGGGAGACAAATGAATAGAAACGCTACATGGCCTGCGGAAAAGGGCGGACACCAGTTACAGACCTGGGAGACAAATGAATAGAAATGTTGCATCGCCAGCGGAAAAGGGCGGACACCAGCAGTGACAGACCTGGGAAACAAATGAACAGACATGCTACACGGCCAACGGACAAGGGCGGACACCAGCAGCGACAGACCTGGGAGAGAAATGAATAGAATGCTACAGTGACAGACCTGGGAGACAAATGAATAGAAATGCTACATGGCCAGCGGAAAAGGGCGGACACCAGCAGTGACACAAAGGGCAGACACATCGTAAGAAAGAATTGAGAACCCCTAACAGTAAACTGTTTGGGGAAAAAGGCAGCTGTTATGTAGCTGCTGCAATTTGAAGGAACTTCAATGAGGTTCATAGTGCCTGTTTGGTTTTGCTGAACCAAAACACCCATCTGCTGATCCGAATGGTCTATGTGGGCCTCTTTGATCTTTGGTGACAGGCACAGAGGCTGACCCTAAGAAGCTGTTCTAAAGAAAGACCTGAGAAGCTGCAAAACGAAAGCCAGCGTCTTTACTTTCGAGTGTGCTTTCTCAGGCCACCCCCCCGAACCCCCCTTCTTACTCAGCTGGCGCAGGTATAGATACCCAGGGTAACTACAATTCAGTTACCAGGTATAGTACTTCAAGTTCCCTTTCCGTGAACCGCTCGATAACCTTTGCACACGCACAGCAATCCACAGCTTTGAAGTCTCATTCTTGCATTGAACTTATATAGGTGTGTAAGAGGTATAGCAACATAGCATCTATACGGACCCAGGGTAGCTACAATTCTGTTGCCAGGTGTCCCATTTTCAATTTCCCTACCCTGGGTCCGTGCGCGCGCGCCTTGCTGGCTCCCGGCTGCCCGTGATTTGGCGCGCGCGCGCGGACCCAGGGCAGCTACAAGGCAGTTGCCAGGTATACCCAGGGTAGCTACAATTCAGTTGCCAAGGATAGCACTGCAACCAACCGAAGACAATTGCGTTTTTTAAAATCACAAAAAAGCACCTCCAAAACCTTGCTTCCGCGCACCCCTACACACCACCTACTTTCGAGTGTGCTTTCTCAGGCCACCCCCCCGAACCCCCCTTCTTACTCAGCTGGCGCCTTGCCAGGTATAGATACCCAGGGTAGCTACAATTCAGTTGCTAGGTATAGTACTTCCAGTTCCCTTTCCGTCAACCGCTCGATAACCTTTACGCACGCACAGCAAACCACAGCTTTGAAGTCTCATTCGTGCTTTGAACTCGAGGTGTAGCAACATAGCATTTATACAGACCCAGGGTAGCTACAATTCTGTTCCCAGGTCTCGCGCGCATGAGACTTCAAACCTGCGGATTGCTGTGCGTGTGTAAAGGTTATCCAGCGGTTGACGGAAAGGGAACTGGAAGTACTATACCTAGCAACTGAATTGTAGCTACCCTGGGTATCTATACCTGGCAAGGTGGCAACTACACCTTACCATTCAGATGATGCAAATGATGAAAATTGCATTTCTTGCATCACCACCCCTCAAAAATCACCTCAAAAAGCCTTCCATCCGTCCACCCTCCTTCCCCAGCATGTGCCGAGTTTACGTGTACCTTTTGCGGGCCGCCCCCCCCAGACCCCCTAACTACTCACTTCGTTCGCCAAGCACAACTCAGCTGGCGCCTTCTACGAAGGCTGGCTTTCGTAATATGAAACTTTTGACGTGGAGAGTAGAAAACTATCGGAAAAATCTAGGGGCCGACAAAGTTCAAGTTCATTTGTCAGAGGTTTCCTACACCCTGAACATGGAAGCGGGCTTCAATAGGCCCTGGGAAGGTCATTTTGCTCTACGAACAAATGGTTTTCCACGTCCATGTTAGCGATTGAGAGAATAATTACAACTGATATTCCAACATCTGCTTGTAGTGCTGGTTTTCACTCCTGGGGAAGAAGAAAGCCCGTCCACGCTAAGTGGATTTGCACGTAGATTCCAGATCAAAGCCAAAATACGGTCAATGTATGTCCAAAGATGAAGTGTGTAGGTATTCCATGTGATGTGGACGACATGGCAGTGAACAGGCCCGGATGGTGCGCTTTGTGTGTCAATCTCTACACGGCCGGAACGTGCATTCGTTTCGGCCCATGGGCCGCAGTTCACCGTGAAAGCGCACGAAGTCAAGACCACTGTCAAGTCCATCCCAGTCATGGTGAAACAACCAACCCCTATAGGCCCTAGGGTTCCGGGCCCATATCCTCAGAAGGACCCCCAAAACCTACCGCAACCACCTCTGAAACGGAGCTAGTTGGAGCCCTAAGGCAACATCACTTGCCGTTGACCTGTCAGGAGGTTGACGATCCAATCGAGCCATGGTGCCGATGCTTGAAAGGTTGGGGGTCACGTCGGGCCCGGCGCCGGTTGCGACGGGTCACGGGGACTCGGTGCAGTCGCAAAAAATAGATGTTTCAGTCGCATATATTACTCCGATTAGAAAGTTGATGAGACAATTTGTATTTGTTACGCCAGGTTTAGGTATCGGGAGCATTTCGGTGTGTTATATGATTTAAATATTCTGATGTATGTCGCACACCCAAAACAATCTGCTGGAGCGAACCAAGGGACTCCCAGTTAAACGTTCAACCTGTGAAAAATGCAATGACAAAACCTGCTAGTTGTTTTCGAAAAATCCAGGATCCTCACAAGTGATCTGTGGATTCTGATGCCAGCTCTTCTTTATTTATCGCTATAGTAGGTTGGAGGCCATCGCTATTCGGTTGGAGGCGGTTGGAGGTCAGGCTTTCCGGGATCTGTCTCCAAGTGACAAGGAGCTCCTTCTCCTCATAAGTCCGAGAGCAAAAGTTCTGATAGAGTAAGGGATGAAAGGCAGAACTTGATGAAAAAACAAACCCATCCACTGTTTCCATCCACTCCAACCACGTTCATCTTCCCAGCGGTTTCGCTCCGGTTGCAGGCCTCTATCACCGGCCACCGCAGGTTTCGCTCCGCGCACCGCGCGACCTGTCGCGGATCGCCATGGCCGACCTCATGGCACGGGAGACGCCGCTGGGTGTCCTTCGTCCAAAATGGTTTGGGGTGGGCTGCATTGTTTGGGTCCTTCCTTTCTCCAGTCACCACTTCTATCGGATGGCAAGACCTTGGGATCTCCCTTCAAGCACCTTGTAAACCCCAAAAAGAACAATGAAACCAAGCAAACGCGGAAACGAGCAAAATCTTTTGACAAACTTGTCCGACCTTTCCTCCAAGTCGCTCTCATTCATACCCAAAAAGGCTCAAAATCGCCCTACTTCCGTTCCCAGTCCCTCAAACACCGAATTGGTTTAGATCCGCTTTGGGGAACCTGGACTCCTCCCCGAACCGCACCCCTCCAAATACGTTGCACCCGGTGCCGGAGTGGGTTGTGGTCGGCTCAGTTCGCCCAGTTCGGCGTCTTTTGCGGCCAGGGCCATCACTAGGAGGGGCTTGCTGCGGCAAAGAGTTGCAAGCTTCAAAGGCATCAGAAGCATTCAGAAGCAATGTGTGTCACAGAGTTCGGGACGGTCAAGCTTGCCAATGAGCTGCTTTTCAGCAGTGGTATAGTGGTTACCAACGGTCACGCTGTGGTAGTGGTGACGTTGTTGCACGAACGCTTTTTCCCATCGGTGAACCGGACGATTCAATTCCTCGGTTCACTGGTGGATCCACTCTAATCCACTCCCTAGTGATCCAGCTGTACCGAACCTCAGATTCGGCACGGCTGGGCCCTCCTGGCGCCTAGAGAAATAGTCTCCCATCACCTTCTGAGAAGGTACGACTGGATCCCTAGGGACTGGCTGGTTCATGAATTTCACCCTTCAAATCCTTCACGAAAACAGCTCGTTTCGCTTCCTTTTCCAGTTCTGACCTGTCGGTCTGTCGTCTCCTGGTCCAAGTCTGACCTCCGTAAGAGTAGTGTTTTTGGATGACCAACTCCAGTATTTCAGGTGGAGAATTCCTGACCTACAGGCTTCCATACTTCCATCCACTGCGGATAGTTCTTGAAGGCCAAACACGTCCAATGCTTGGGTTTTGCCATGGTTTTCTTACCCCAACTTCTCCAGACACCCTCGTTGATGGCAGCAGCGCTTCGTTCTCTTTGTTCTCTTCGTTCTCTGTCGTTCTTCCGCGTCCTCGCTCGGCTCAGGTCTCCAAAGGCAACTCCGAGAGGTGGTAGACATCCTCGCACCTTGGGACCAACCCTCACCGACGGTTAGACCAGTCCGCCGAACGCGAAAGACGACCACCTGACTTGACCACCGGTGCTCCAGCCTGCGCTGGCTAAGGCATGGCCCTGATTCACACATCTGAGACCCTGCAAAACGTGTGAAGAACAAAGCTTAGTATATTGCTTTCACCAAGCCAATTTGAGGCAGCCACCACATAGAGCCTCGAACATGAAGGAACATCACCCAAACGATTGTTTCCGGGTCTTCTGCCACTGTCGAAGCTACGCAAGTTTCAAGCCAACACCCTTGCAAAACCCATCAAAACCCCGCCGGGTGACCATATTTGCGTACTCCATCCATGTCCAGAGCATCACACCTTTTACCTCCTGAGGTCAACCACGTGGTCAGCTCCCTCCTCCCACCGCTCCCGTCCCGGTTCCCACCGCGCGGCCACACGGGTGCGCGGCGCCCGGGCGAGGAGGCCGCCAGGCTGGCGAGGCCGTTGAGGCGACGCATCTGCGACTCCTCACGACGACTCGCTGCGCTCGACGAGTTCGCGGCGAAGCTGCGCTCGACGACTGGTTGGCAGGTGGGCATCTGGTTGTTTGCAGCACAAACATTGAACAACAACACAGAGAAGAGAAGTCATTCTCCAGTAATCACTTCAATAGTGAAAAATCTAGACAGTGGATGAGAAAAACCACTTAGCCAGCCCTCCACTAGGTCTAGAGTCAAGGCTGTTGGAGCTGGTGTGGGATTTTGAACCCAAAAATGAAGAGTTCTTGGGAAGATGACTCAAACACCTGACGGGATTGGCATTGACCCCGGGTCAACCACCTCGACGAGATGCAGATCGATATGTCATATATGGAGTATCTGGGTGAGAGTTCTATATACTGCAGTGGTCCCGAACGATGATCAACAGCTTCATTTCCCGAAGAATCAGATCTATTATACTATTGACTATTGAAAAACCACCCGTGTTTAGACACACGGCTCCACGTCGCGCAACTACCCCTTTGTGAAAGTGCCAATCCCGCCGCTCAGGCCGTGGCCGCGTCCATCCCTCCGTCCCACCGTCCCTTCGGTGCCGTCGTCCTCGAAAGCGCCCTCCAACGCGGCCCAGTGCTCCTGGCGCGAGTCGCTCGCTCTTCGGATGGAACCCGCCTTTGGGCATATGTTATTTTAACTTTTTAAGGCTCTATATCAGCATGTTTCTGTCTTGCATACCCAGAACTATTAGGGACTATGTTTGTTTCTTTTAGGAACTATTGCCAGGGCCCAGTGGTTGAAGGTTCACTTCCCGACTCTTGTTGACCGACTCTTACAGGTTTACTGGGACACACCCAGCCACCGCCTGCCTGACCAGGCGGTGGCGCAGGTTTCTTCACCTAGACTGAAGCGACTCTTGGTCTGCTGTGGCTGGAATCGTGTGGTCATTCCTACTGGGGTCCGCATCACAGCATACCCGCACATCATTTTCCTTGAACCCCAGTAGGAATGGCCACAAAAACATCAGAATCTTGTTTGCATTTGTATGAAGCGCCACTGAAGCCCATCGACCTTTGATACAAACCACATGAATTCACATGCCGAAAACAGGAGTTCACATGAATAACATGGCCCGTCCCAAGTACCAGGTAATTTGTCCCTCTGAACGCGTGAGAGAATCAATCAAATTTGACATGATGAGTGGGGTGTGGGCATTTTTTGTAAGTGTAACCGCAACGCCTTGAGTACGACGGCGTTTGGACCAGCAAATGCTTTGACCCAGAAGCCATTTTGGAAACCAAACCCACGGCCGCGACATGGTCAACAATTTGACCATATGATTCATCATATGATACCATGACTATGACTATGACCACAAATGTAGCCAGTTGACACACAAAGAGAGAGAGAGAGAGAGAGAGAGACACACCTTTCTATCTGATCCCCCCAGCAAAAAAAGAAGCTCATTGCTTCACTTTATACTGGCGGTTGTGATTCTCTGCGCAACCACTGATTGTGTATCTTACAACTGGGGATCAACCCACTTGGGACCCGAGTTGATTGTCATCCCAATCCCCAACAAACCTGGTTCCGAACAGTGATGTCCTTCTGGACAAAACATAGATGGGGTCGGCGCCAGGTACCATTTATACCTTATACTTATACTTATATACTTATATACATCCTTATACCTATTCTATACAGGAATGGGGAGTCTTTTCTGGGTTCTCATCCACCCACCAATGGGCTTCTCATCCGGTCCCAGCTCGCTTCTCTCTCCTCAAGGTGGTCCTCCACCAGCAGCATCCCTCCCAGTTGCAGCCACCATCGGTCGATCACTTGCCTCGCCGAGCGATCCGTTCCCTTGGCCATGGCCTCGGCGAGCCGAGGGGAGCGTCCAACGTGCCCCTGAAATGGAGGGTGCCTAAGCTACTAGACCTAGAACGGTCACTCCGTTTTGGGATTTCCAGAGTGAAAGGCCGCCACCAAAGGTCCCACCTCTTCGTCCTTCGTTTGGGGAAAACGAGGAACCCAATTCCCCCAAACGCCCCACACACATCGTTCGGTGCTCTGCAGGTCTTCACAACCTCCCCAGTTGGCACGGAGAACGAGACGAGAACGCACGGCACGGGAGTGAATCTTTCGACCCGGCATCGACGGGGGTCGGTCTGGAACCAGTAAGAGCACCACTGAACTGCAGGGTGATGACATACCCTCCCATCCGACTAAATCTAGAAATGGACCGACATCCTCTGTTTGGTACTTGTAAAGCTCATCAGTCTTTCCGGGCCATGCGTTCTCCACGTTGGCCCATGAGGACCTAACTCAGGGAGGGTCATCGAAAACTTCCCAGACCAGCAGCTTCACTGCTGGCGTCTGGAAAAGGGGAAGGTAACGTGGACCCGGAGTGGAGATGGGTCTTGGGGTAGGGCATGGTCTTGAGATGCCGAAAGAAAGAATGAACTTCTCTTGATGATGAGTTAAACCCAGAGAAGTAATCATTCAGATCTGAAGGGTTCAACCCTTCAGTCATTCGGTTGACAACCCTTCAGTTAAACCCCCAAAAACATGAGTCGTTCCTGGTGTTGTCATTCTGTCATTCCCGATCAGGGTTGAAAAGTAGAACGGAAGATGAACGCCAGTTCTTGTTCTTCTTTTACTGCAACTGGCAGCAAAGGTTCCCAAATCAAATAAGGTATAAGGACTCCACGTCCGGTGCTTTGGTCAGTGGTCCTGGCTTGGTGGAGCAACGAGTATCATCAATCATTGTAAAACCACACCTGTTCCCCAACCTGAGCTTCCCTCTGGATGAACCCTTTAGGCTCCGGATTGTGCCATCCAAATCACAAGAAATGTTTCACTTTGTGAGCATGAGCGATGACTCTCACACGCTTCATCGAAAAAGATCCTCACCATTTTCGCTCCCACCCTGTGCTTTTCCGTCCACTCCATCGATCACCATGCGGCCGCGATGTGAGGGTCTTCCAAGGGATTCAAATATCCGTAGGAGCGGTTCTCCTGAGCATCAGCAACATGGTTCGAATCGACTCTCGCGCACGCTCGGTGGAGTGCAACATGTTGAACAGCTCCACTCCACCGAGCAAAGGTGTGAAACGTGACAGTTACTCCACAGCAGTGCACTCACTTAGCTAGATGAGTAGGACTTAAGCTAGTGGAGAATTTCATGGGAGCAGATTGCATCACGCTTGGTAATACACAATGGAACCCACCGAAACACAGCACAGAGCCACAGAGACCAATTGGCAAAGGACCTTTGTTGAGCCATTAGTTACTTAATTAAGTAGATGCCTACTTAATTTAGTAAGGGCGGGCTTTAAGAAAAAAGCAACATGCTGGCCTTTACAACGAGAGTGGTGGGTCCTTTGGGGAACTTCAATGGCAGGATCCAGGCGGAACCATGCACTGACGCCGTCAATCCGAAGGTTCCGCTTCGAAGGAGGAATCGCCAGGAATCGCTGCGCAAATCCGTCTCCAGATTTTCAACGAGGATCTCACTAATCCCTCGGCTTTAGGGGTCAGTTCCTTTTGTACCGTGAGGGCAATTGGCTTCCCCTCTCTCTGGATTCATCACCAGAACCATCTTAACCATGTTGAAACCAGTTCAACCCGTCCGTGCTCATCTTAAATCATGATAACGGACCCCTCCTTCCCCCAAGCGTCTGCTATAACCAACGATCCCCATCCAACCGGACGCTGGCTCCACTCCTCGGTGAGGCCTCTGGCCATCGTGACGATGCCCAAGGACTGCAAGGTCTCCATCTGCGAGGTCCACTTCCCTGCGGGTGCGCGCGTTTTGGACTGGGCGTTTTTCGTTTCACGAGACCCCAAGGCTTCAACTTCAGCAGCTTTGAGCTATTTCATGCTTGCAGGCCGAATGGATTTTAGACTTGAAGTCGTCCGATGGACTTGGGCACGTTTCAGTTCTATCCCAACGCGTTTTGGATTAGCTTTCGAGACGATGGGTCCAAGAACGGGAGAGTCATCTATATGTGGTGCGTTTCTTTCTTGTATATAATTCGTTGCTGTTTCAACACTTACACATCTTACACTCCCTGTGAACATCATGGAAGCGGACCATCACCTGTGAGGTGTTCGGAATTCTTGGTGCTCCTTTCGAGGCCATTGTTTTCACCATCATGATGACTCCATGGAGTCGAGACCACTTTTGATCAGTTCCACAAGTCGGCCTATGACGCATCTCTCAGTCTTGACACATCGACCAGAGTCTTTGACGATATGGCTTCGATTCGATGCTTTACACTGCAAGGCTCAAACATCCAAACAGCAACACATTCCCATGAGGTCCACATCGACCTCACAGAAACAGCTCTCTCTCTCTCTCTCCCTCCCCCCACGCAAAACAGCCCTCCGCCCGCACAGCCCTCCCCAGCTCAGCTCCGGCACGGGCTTCGTCGGGACCTCCCGGCTCGTAGATGCTGAAGCGCTGCAGCACCTGGCTCCCGAGCGTCTCTGGGCTGAAAGCTGGAAGCAGGTGAGCTGATTCCATCGTGGCCGGGAGGATGAAGAGGGTTCGCTGGGTCCAAAGGTCGTGCAGCAAAGGGCACAGAGTTCTATGGAGTTCGGGTGGACGATGGTGTGTTGTGGCCTACAGTCAGTCCAACCAATCCCAAAGAAGTGTCAATTGAATCTTTGGAAAGGATGTGGCAGTCAGCCCCTTTGGGATGTTGACCATGGCTCTCAAAATGGGTCTTATCCAACCCGCTGGTCAAAGAAAAAGTAAACATCCAAACCTTAGGTATAATTATTATCATGGTATATCTGGGTCCTGGGTCATAATCCTTCCCTAGGTCAAGGACCTCATTTGACTGGATCCGGTTGTGCAAAACCAGTACTCAATGAGGTCAAGGACCAGGATTGACTTGGCCCCAGTGGACTTCTAGGTAGGGCTTTCTTGATTCAAATGCCTCAGCGATCGCCCCCAAATTGCAAACGCCAGGCCACGAAGGAAGGCTTCACCTCCACTTCGCCTCAGCATTTGCTGAGGAATCAGCATCACACCGGAGGTACTCCCAACGGCAACACACGGTACTCCCATTGACTCATCTTCCGCTGAGATCTATACCGTTCAACGCTCCGTTTCTGTATTTTCACGCTTGCACACCTGTACATACACTTACGACCCTCTCATGTGGCTCAAGAAAAAGGGTGCTAGCTGCTAGTTGGCACTTTTAGGCCATGTGAATGTCCGAAGTCCGAAGTCACTTCGGGTCACTCGGGGTCGTGGATCGCTTTGGATCGGGTTCGTCCGGTGAGGTCTCGCTTGGGCTCGGTGGCTTCGGTCAGAAAGGACGCCAATCTTCTCCTCCTTCAGTGGGAAAGGACATATACACTTGAGAGAAGGGAGACACGAAAGGTAGGACAGCGGGAAGAGAAG